ATTAGGGTTCAGCACATTAGACCTGGCTCTGGATTAGGGTTCAGCACATTAGACCTGGCTCTGAATTAGGGTTCAGCACATTAGACGTGGCTCTGAATTAGGGTTCAGCACATTAGACCTGGCTCTGGATTAGGGTTCAGCACATTAGACGTGGCTCTGAATTAGGGTTCAGCACATTAGACGTGGCTCTGAATTAGGGTTTTGCACATTAGACCTGGCTCTGGATTAGGGTTGCGCACATTAGACCTGGCTCTGGATTAGGGTTGTGCAAATTAGACCTGGCTCTGGATTAGGGTTCTGCACATTAGACCTGGCTCTGGATTAGGGTTGTGCACATTAGACCTGGCTCTGGATTAAGGTTCAGCACATTAGGCGTGGCTCTGGATAAGGAGCAGAACCCTAGATATGGCATGAAGGATCACTTATATGTATATTAGACACAGCACTGGAGAGAGCTATGTATGTTAAACAGGGTCCCGGAGTTAGCTATAGATATATTAGACATGGCATGAGAGACAGCTATTCACCATGTTACCAGAGACATCGTTGTATATGAGACACAACACCAGGTATAGCTCAGGATATTAGACGTGGAATGGGAAAAGGATCAGAATTTTGCACATGGTACCGGATACAGCAGATTATACTTTACGGCTTTATACAGAGTTGAAAATAATATAAAAGGCCTCAGGCGTCAGCATCCCTTTTATAGCTACATCGGCCACCTCATAACTGGTTGCTGATCCGTTACGTGCCATCACCAGACCTTCCTGCTATTATTGGATCATTTCTGGACCATGGAGAGCACTAGATCTGGGTGGTTAGTATAGAAATGTGGATGTCTCACCTTCAGATGCCTCAGAGCCTGGAGACCCAGAGAGACGATCCGCTCGTTGTCATCTGCGGGGTCAAAAAACTGCGTTAGGTTTTTATTCCAGATCTTACAACCTTTCTGAGCCAACACATAGTACCAAAACAGGCCCAGCCTGACCTTCACCCCCATGCTTGGAAGCCCCCCTTATAAATGGATTTATGGTATTTCATTTGCAACCTCAAAGAGGCAAATCCTAAAACATTTGAGGCCGTGACACACTGCACGCGAAGCCTTGCAGAGCGAAGCAAAGCTATCCGGCACGGAGCTTTGCGTGCAGTGTGTGAGCTGAGTGCAGTCAGATGATTGACAGCACCTTCAGCCAATCGGCTCGTCCGTAACAACCTGCCAGCTGTCACATCGCGCCGCGCTGGTTTATACGCGCGAGCCGACTGGCTGAAGTTGAAATTGTTCATCTCGGCACGCTCAGCTCCGCGAGCTCTCGCAAGCTGAGGTGTCACGGCCTTTAATGTGAAAATGGCTTAAAGGAGAACTTAAAGGTGCTTTTCACTCACCTCATAGTTCTAGCCGACCTGTGACAATGAGACTGTCACAGGTCGGCTCAGTAGATCGGGAGGTGAGAGAACACATGCCGGCGTTCACTCACAGAAATCATCTGACATTCATACTCATCTACTTCCTGGTCCACTTTGGCACAAATGATGTAATCTGTGCCCAAGTCATGCATTCTGGGAAGGTGACATCAGCAGAGCATTGCTGGGAAATCTCATCTGTAATCTCAGAAGATCTCAGGGAAAGGCATTTTCCTCCCCTGAGATGCTGTGCACGGTCACATGTCCTAGTCACACGTGCCAGAGTTCCAGGAAGTAAATTAATTGGGGACAGGAAGTCTAACCCTAAGGAGCCCAAAGACTGGGGAAGAAAAGAGTAATAAGGAATGCAAAGAATACAAAGCCAGCAATTATCTAGAAGAATCTGTGTGTAGATTTGTCATCACTAAACATTTCTAAAGGTGCCTTTGCTGTTATTTTAAAGACACTGGTAAAGGTCGGCTTTAATTCGTTAAAAAAAAGTGCCTAAAACTCAATCAAATGCCTTGAAACTTTGCACAACTTAAAGTGACATTAAACCCTCAGATTTTTTAACATAAACCAATACTGTAATGTGCGCCTTACTGTAATCCATGGTAGTTTCCCTTCTCTTTGCTGCTCTTCCTTTTAAATCTTTATCTCTTCTCATGCTTGGGGAGAACTTCCCTTTGCAGCTGAGTGCCTCTTCCTGTAGTGCTGGCTCAGGTTGTGAACCTGCACACAGACACCATGTATCCATTCCTGAGACAAGGCAGTCTGCTGCAAAACAGAAGTTCTCCCCCAGCATGAGAAGAGAGACGGATTTAAAAGGAAGAGCAGCAAAGAGAAGGGAAACTACCATGGATTACAGTAAGGCGCACATTACAGTATTGGTTTATGTTAAAAAATCTGAGGCTTTAATGTCACTTTAAGTTCTCAGCCTCTGAAACCTATCCTGGAAGTTTCATGGATTTTGGTTTCCCAGAAGGCAATCTATCTATGCAAACATATTCTGAAGATGTCAGTACCTAAGCTCAATGTCACTCATTTTCCTTGGGAGGAACCAAAATCCATAAACCTTCCAGGATAGGGTTGAGAGGCTGAGAACTTGGGTTGTGCAAAGTTTCAAGGCATTTGATTGAGGTTTAGGCACATTAGGGTACATTAAGGCCCCGTTCCCACTGCGCCATATGCAAATCGCGCGTTTGTCGCGCGATTTGCATATTGCGCAACATCACGAGATTTGCCGCGCGATATCGCGTTCAAGCTTGCATTGAGCAAGCTTGAATCGCGGCTAAATCCGCTCCAAAAAGGGTCCTGCTGTAGCGACACACGACCCGCGACAGCAGGACCCTTTGCCCCATTGAAATGCATTGGAGCGCGATACCGCGCGGTAATTTGCCGCGATATCGCGGGAATTACCGCGCGATAAATCGCTCAATGTGAACGGGGCTTAAATGTTTTAGGATGTCCCCTCAAAGACAAAGATTTGGGGTATGTGAAGGGAATCTTCTTGCCCTTACAGGGGTGGATGGCAATGGTCATAAGAAAGTCCTTTTTTTATCATTAGGTTTTATAACTCAATCTATTATTTTTTTTGGTAAATTGTTTGCGGACGCGGTGTGTTCAACTTTCTCAAAGATGAGCAGTACATAGAGGTGGTGTATGATCTGCTCTTGCACAAATCTATCGAGTTAAGTGGACCTGTCACCCGTGACAATACGCTAATTGTACTTGAGACTATGGATCTCCAAGACAAAGGTTGCCCACTCACTGTACTCTAACAGACAGGTACTCTTAGCCGCCATCTCACCTGCTTATGAAACCACACAAATCCATGGAACCATGATGCGCCACCAAGGCATGTGATACCTACTGTGGCATTGCGTGGCATTACCACGGTGATAGGTGGCCTCAAAGTCACCCTGGGTTCTCAGCCAGAGGGGCTGAGTGGCTCCAGGAAGACATTACTGGTACCAGGAGAGAACTGCCTTCTCAGTCCTTTCCGGGTTTTCTGGATCCTAGTTGGGATCCTGGAGCCGGGAGATTTCTTAGAGCTCTGGGTGGGAGGAAATCTTCAGTTCTGGGTCCATGCTTTGGTAGTGACCGGCACCTAATTGCTTTGGTAGTGACCGGCACCACATCCCTCATGAAAGAGTGTGCTGGGATGAGTTCAGGGCCCCTACCTGTGAGTCAGGAGAGCTCCACCCCGGAGTCAGTGTGGAGGCCGGTGCAGCAGGGAGCTGCGGGTTCGTGAACCATATTGGGAGGATTGGCATGTTATTGTCGTTGTCTGGAGGAACCAGACAGTGGCCCTGAAGATTGAGGCCGGAGCAGCAGTGCTGCAAGAGAGACTTATTAAAAGACTGGGACACCGTGAGTGTATGGGACAACTCGAGGATTGGTGAGCCCGCATCTGTTATATTTATGTTGCATTTCGTGATTATCTACCGTTTTGAAAGAAAATAAAGACTCTGTGTTTTGAAAACCCCCGCCGTGCGAGTGCTCTGTGAGCTCCCCAATATCACACTACGTATACCTTTCCACCAGATCACGTTGTGTTTTTGAAGGAATTAACTTGAATTGCAAACAGCAGGTTACCACCCCGACACACCTCAACATAACTAATGGCGGGGAACCGACTTTTTTTGTCCAGGCATCTCCTGGAAGAGAGCCCTAAATGTCTCTGTTTCCTCATAAACTAACAGTCCAGCATCTCCCAAACTTCACTCCAGTCTGAGCAATGAACTTCTCCAAAGTGTTTAAATGACAGGTCCCCTTTAACCCCTGACACTAACCTATGACGACCGCACTGCACTCCACAGCAACGCCGCCCAGTGTGACGGGCATGCGGTCTATCTGTCCGAGGGCGTTCACATTATATGGCAGAGTGATGCTGTCCTCCTCGTTATTGTGGAACCTGAAATGTTCCTTCAATCTACAGAGACAGGAAACAAATAAAGTATTAAATGTATCGGATGGAAAATGATCCAGAAACCCCGCCCCCATCATCCCCATCAGAGTCCCAGAGACACAATATTATGAAATAAGACTTTTCAGGTGTCACATTTAAACATCACATATCAATTGTTCATACAGATTTTAAAGATACCCCCAACACACACACACAGATACACACACACACACATACATACACACACAAACCGATACACACACACATACACAGGGACCTGACCAAGGATCAGGTGAGTATTTCTTCTTTATTATAGAGCCTAGGCCTAGACCAAAACAAGCACTTAAAGTGACATTAAACCCTCAGATTTTTTAACATAAACCAATACTGTAATGTGTGCCTTACTGTAATCCATGGTAGTTTCCCTTCTCTTTGCTGCTCTTCCTTTTAAATCCTCATGTCTTCTCATGCTGGGGGAGAACCTCCCTTTGCAGCTGAGTGCCTCTTCCTGTAGTGCTGGCCCAGGTTGTGAACCTTCACACAGACACCATGTATCCATTCCAGAGACAAGGCAGTCAGCTGCAAAACAGAAGTCCTCCCCCACATTCTCCTATCTGGTAATCTCTTGCCTCAACAGTCATTCAGCAAAGATGCAACTTGCAGTGTCTAGTATACAGACAGCGGCTAGTTGTCCAATGCCGTCACAAAAATATGAAACAGCAAAAAATATCAACGTAGGAAAGTTCAGCTTCACGACGAATATGAGGAGTGAGCCCCGAAATGGATCCCCGCTGTAGTTTGTGATGCCAGTGTGCCTGTGACACCGAGGGACGTGCACAATAATCCGCGAGGATAAAAAGACGCGGATATAATCGCCGCGCCGCCGCTGAGCCCCTGTAACCTGCATTCTTTGTCTTGTTGGGTAAAACGTTCTTCTCTGGCATATTAATGAGTCCGCCAATTGTGCGCTGACCTCATTCTGCCAGGCGCAGAGCGCGGCTCAGCATAATTACCGTATCGCCGCATGCAGCACATATTCCCGGGGGACCGGCTGCGTGCCAGATAACATGTTACATGTCAGGATCCCTCCCGCAGAGTCGGATCGTCCTGCCTCTTACACTTATATTAAGAAAACACACACACACCACTTAAAGTGTATGTAAAGAGAACCCCTTCATCCATTTTGGGTAGAGAGGGAAAGGGTTAAAGGAGAACTATGACGTGAGTGATTTCCACTCACCTCATAGTTCTAGCCGACCTGCGACAATGAGACTGTCACAGGTCGGCTCAGTAGATCGGGAGGTGAGCGAACACATACCGGCGTTCGCTCACCTTTCGATCCTGTCACGGCTCTCTGCCGTGACAGGGGAGGGGCTGGATTCCCCCCTCCCCGCTCCGATCCGCCAGCGCTGACTGGCGGAACGGACGGGGCAAGGGGCGGGTACAGCTGGCTCTGCCTCTAGATAGGCAGAGCCAGCTGTCAGTCACGCAGCTGGGCGGATCCAGACAGAATTGTCGGGATCCGCTCCGGCTGCGGCGTCTCAGTGTACCGCGAGCTGTAGTTCCCTATATACTGAGCCTAGGGTGACGGGAGGACGCTAGTTTGTGTCCTCCCGTTATCCTAAGGAGAACTATGGGGAAAAGCCCTGACCCCATAGTTCTCCTTTAAACCCCGTTAGCTTATTTTTTGCCATCTGTGTCCCAATGGGTAGATTTCCCTTCACTTCCTGTCCAATAGACGCAACAGGAAATTAAAGGAAATATCACAAAGTAGGGACGCACCCATACTAGTATCGATGCCGATACCGAGTATTTGGGCGAGTACTCGTACTAGCCCAAATGCTCCGATACCTTCCCCGATATTGGTACTTCCCGTCAGAGGAAGATTTCCTCTAACCGGCAGTGCAGTAAGGGAACATGGAGCCGGCTTCCCGTGCGATCAGGAAGCTGGGCGGCGAGTAATGACCCGCCTCCCAGCTTTCTGATTGGCCGGGAAGCTGGCTCCATGCTGATTGGCCCGAGAAGCTGCCTTCCTGGCCAATCAGCATGGAGCCAGCTGAACAGCAGGCTCCATGCTGATTGGGTGGGAAGCCGGCTTTCCATCCAATCAGCATGGAGCTGGCTTGCCGACCAAGCAGGAAGCTGGGAGGCGGGTCATAACTCACCACATGGCTTCCTGATTGGCCGGGAAACCGGCTCGATGCTGATTGGCTGAGAAGCCGGTTTCCCGGCCAAAAACATTAGAAAATAATGGCATTGCCAGCGCGATCATCGGTGGTGTGCGACTCCGTGATTGCGCGGCCATCAGCGCGGTTTTCGTGCAAGATTGCTGCGTGGTCATGGATTACCCAGGTGTGAACCTGGCCTCAATGGGGTTACAACATCTACACGGCATCCGCTGAAAAAACGTCCAAAAAAAGTCCCGCGCACTCCAAGGTCCAATGTGCTGAACGTCTCTTTTATTCAGATGTTATACAGACATGGTGGCAAACCATGAATTGTGTGCAAGGACCTCCCCCCTGACGTCATCAGGACGTCCTATTCCCGCCCCCAAAAAGTGCTTAAATACATCTATTTAGGGACATCTATCTTTTTCGCAGCGCGCAATTTTTTCGACCACGATCGTACGCCATTGCCCAGTCGGAATCGCGCAGGGGGACCACTCATCTGCCTGAGGTGCCACTAGAAAATAATGGCACCACCAGCGCGATCAGCGGTAGTGTGCGACTCGGTGACTGCGCGGCTTTGTGCGCGATTGCCGGCGCCGGTCGCAGGACGCCCAGGTGTGAATCTGGCCTCAATATTGAACGTCAGAAAAAAATTGCATTGCTGTACTCACCCGAGTCTGTCCAGACAGGCGGAGGATATGACGCTGTGCTGACAAGACGTATCAATCTTGACTTTCATCTCCTTCCCAGAGCACTGCAAGATACAAAGGACAACGCCAAGGTGGAGGCTGAGCACTCGCGTCCATGTTTTCCATTTTCATCCATTTATCAATTTACAACAAAAAAAAACATAAGTACCAATATAAACAGGGTTATACACAAGAGGTAGAAGAGTTTGGAGAAGGAAACAATCTAGGACAACATCGCTGATTTGGAAATATTCTCCAATTCAGCTCACTTTCCAGTTCAGCGATGTTGTCCTAGATCCGTGGTTCTCAATCTGTGTAACCTCCGGATCTTGGTCATTAAAGTGACATGAAACCCTCAGATTTTTTAACATAAACCAATACTGTAATGTGTGCCTTACTGTAATCCATGGTGGTTTCCCTTCTCTTTGCTGCTCTTCCTTTTAAATCCTCATGTCTTCTCATGCTGGGGGAGAACTTCCATTTGCAGCTGAGTGCCTCTTCCTGTAGTGCTGGCTCAGGTTGTGAACCTATACACAGACACCGTGTATCCATTCCAGAGACAAGGCAGTCTGCTGCAAAACAGAAGTTCTGCCCAGCATGAGAACAGATACAGATTTAAAAGGAAGAGCAGCAAAGAGAAGGGAAACTACCATGGATTACAGTAAGGCGCACATTACAGTATTGTTTTATGTTAAAAAATTTGAGGCTTTAATGTCACTTTAAGTCACGACCCAAGTTGCACTGCAGTGGTACGCACAGCATTGTGGTACTGCGCATTCCGGTGAGGGCAATCGAACTGCGGGTGGGAGGTGCGTTTGGGATGCCATTCAAAAGATCCACCCAGTCTCCGTACCTTACGAGAACTGGAGTGGATCCTCAGCCTGGGGTCCAGTGGGGGCTGTTTGCGCTGTGACGGGGAGCTCCATCCATACGTGCAATGCTGGCACAGCTCCCTTTCCGTGCACAGTAGCGGTGCCTGGAGCCAGAATGTGATGTCACTCCGGTCCAGGCACCTCTATAGGCACGTGAGTGAGCTGTATCAATGCACGTATGGATGTAGCTCCCTCACGGCCATAGTCCCATCTCACCTCAAGCTGACACTCGGCGCCGGGCAGCATATTTTGAATGGCTGTTTGGCGCAAGAACTGACAGTGCTGCAAATGGGGGAGGCCGAGGAGGAGTGGAAGGCACACGGCGACCCACTGCACATGGGGTCGTGACCCACTTTTGGGTCACGACCCACCAGTTGAGAACCAAGGTCCAAGATGGTTCCCTTCTCCTGTCTTCTCCAAACTCTTTAGTGAATAACCCTGAAAGCTACAATGCAAAGTTCTCCAATCAGAGACCTTGGTCAGAGTCAGTGCAGTGCTAGTGATGGGCCAACAACTGGCCTGGGTTTGGTTCCTTGTTAGATCCCTGAACTCAGACAGATATCTGGGTTTGGCGAACGTCCAAGTAAACCCAACTCGGGGCCGCCTGTGACCCGCACAGCATTATGGGTTTCTAGGACTCTAGCAGCTGGGCCAGTGACACTTTGGGGTCACCAGCATCTTAGCAACAATCTATGACTCTATGGGGGATCCAGCTTCTTAGAAACCAATGACGCTTTGTGGCCCGCACAGCTTTATAGGTTGCTAAGACACTGGCGGCCCCTTAGTGTCATAGGTTGTTATGGGGCATCTGGCTGCATTCTATCAAACAAAGGGGGGGCTACACGGCTCAGCCAACACAACCAATGACACCGTGCGTGATAACATGTCTACAAAACAATTACTATAGGCAGGGCCGTCTTTAACGCAGGGCAAAAGGGGCAGTTGCCCAGGGCCTAGTCCTTGTTGTGGGGCCCAAGGCAGCTGCCCCTTGAGCCTGCAAAAGATACACATGTTCAGGGCTGGCAACCTCACCTGTGTAGGAATGGGGACTTACACTGGACCTGCCTCCTGTCTGTGTACACGGCGTCTGTGCCAGGCTACATGCAGCAGCATGGACGGGACTTCGGGCTCCGCCCACTATCCACTCAGCCCGCCCCTGGCTCTCCGTACTCACTGTGTTGCCTGGGGCCTGCTGGGAGCCCTCAATGTGCCATGAGCTGTCACCCCTGCTGTGTTCACCCTCCAGAGCCTCACACCAGGTATCACCATAATCACTGGTACTGTAAATTTAACCAATTACAAGTGTGTGCTGACATATTTACTTACAGTAAACCCTAAATCTTTTTTTATTTATAATATAGTGCCCCCCCCTGCTTGAAATAGCAAATACAGGTTGTTGTTTTTTTAACATGGAATACAGACAGCACTTTTGCCTTTCTCGCCCAGACAGGAATGATGTCCCCAGTTACCTGCAATATGTCATGTATCCTGGGAGGCTTTGGGGCAATCTAGAGAGGGCCGGCACTAGCACAAGGCTG